CGATCCCTCCCTCTAGAAGGAATGTAAACTTGTGGTATGTTATGCGGTCACTGATTCCCCAATGCAGCTATGCACTACTACCCATTCAAGCAAATTTTAATGCCACAGTAGGAAAGTTGACATTTTACAAACCAACAGTAATATCTACAGCAATTTGTAATACTCTGTAGACTCCCATTCCAGGAAATCATGCTGTATCATAAAATAAAAAAATTAGGGTTGGAAAGGACTTCAGGAGGTCACCTTGTCCAATCGCCTGCTCAAAGCAGGACCATCCCTGACTAGATTATCCCAACCAAGGCTTTGTCTAGCCAGGTTTTAAAAACTTCCAAGGATGGGGAGTTCACAACCTCTCTGGGTAGCCTGTTCCAGTGTTTTACCACCCTCCTAGTGAGAAAATTCTTCCTAATATCTAACCTAAGCTTCCCTTGCCGCAACTTGAGAACATTGCTCTGTGTTCTGTCATCTGCCACCAGTGAGAACAGTTTACATTCATCCTCTTTCGAACACCACTTCAGGTAGTTCAAGGCTGCTATTAAATCCTCTCTCAGTCTTCTCTTCTCTAGAAGAAATAAGATCAGTTCCCTCAGCCTCTCCGCAGAAGTCGTATGCCCCAGCCCCCAAACCAGTTTTGTTGCCCTCCACTGCACTCCATCCAATTTGTCCACATCCTTTCTTAGTGGGGAGCCCTAAACTGAACACAGTATTCCAGAGATGTGGCCTCACCAGTGCTGACTATTGGGGAATAATCACTTCCCTTTCCCTCCTGGCAACACTCCTATCAATGCAGCCCAGTATGCTGCTAGCCAAGATCCTCAGATCCTTTTCTGCAGAGCTGCTGCCCAGCTAGTCAGCCCCAGCCTGTACTGGTGCATGGGATTGTTCCATCCTAAATTCAGGACTTTGCACTTGTCCTTGTTGAACCTCACGTGAATCATTTTGGCCCAATCCTCCAATTTGTCTAGGTCAGTCTGAATCCTAGCCAGAACCTGCAGTGTACCTACTACTTCTCACAACTTGGTGCAATCTGCAAACTTTCTGAGGGTGCACTCTATGCCATCTTCCAGATTGTTGATGAAGATATTGAACAAAACTGGCCTTAGGACTGACCCCTGGGGCATTCCACTTGATACCAGCTGCCAACTAGACATCAAGCCATTCATTACTACCCTCTGAGCCTGATGTGACAGCCACATTTCCAACCACTTTACAGTCTGATCATCCAGCCCATACTTCCTTAGCTTGCCTGTGAGAATGTTGTGGAAGACGGTATCAAAAGCTGTGCTAAACTCAAGGTATATCACTTGATTTTAGCACAGCTTTTGATACCATCTTCCACTGGTCTCTTTGCATCTACAGAGCCAGTCACCTCACCATAGAAGGCAATCGGGTTGGTCAAGCATGACTTGCCCTTGGTGAATCCCTCAGCACCTTTGGGTGCATCCTGTCTGGTCCCATGGATTTGTATATGTCCAGCTTTTCTAAATAGCCCCTAACTTGTTCTTTCAGCACTGTTGGCTGCTCACTTCCTCCCCAAACTGTACTGCCAGATGCAGTAGTCTGGGCGCTGACCTTGCCTGTGAAGACTGAGGTGAAAAGGCCACTGAGTACTTCAGCCTATTCTGCATCGTCTGTCACTAGGTCACCTCCCCAATTCAATAAGGAAGCCACACTTTCCCTGATCTTCCTCTTATTATTGACATACTTGTAGAAACCCTTCTTGTTCTCCTTCATGTCCCTTGCTAGCTGCAACTCCAATTGCGCTTTGGCCTTCCTGACTTCATCCCTTCATGCCTAAGCAATACTCTTATACTTCTCCCTAGCTTTTTGTCCAAGTTTCCACTTATGACCTTCTTTTTTGTGGTCTTGTTTACTGATTAGTTCCCTGCTAATCCAAGCTGGTCTTCTGTCACGCTTGTTAGTCTTCCTGCACATCAGGATGGTTTGTTCCTGAACTCTCAGTAAAGGCCTTCCTTCTCATCTCTGCCTAAGTGTTCCCTAACAATGGTCCTGTGATGATGAACCAGCACAGCTTCATGCTGTTGCTCTGTAGATCCCTACATCAGATGTTTTCCCCCTTTAACCTGTAAAAGAAGAGAATCCTTCCTGCATTGCTGATTTAGTTTCTGCCCTAATTTTCATAGTCCCATCCTACTTCAAATTAGTATTTTTTTCAATTGCAAATAAATGTTCAAAGTTAAAAAAGATTCCTAAGCAGTTGAAGCACTTTTAAAATTGTCTCGGATAGCCAGGGCCGACTCAAGTTACGCTCGTACGTCAGGGCGGGCTGGTGAATGGAGAGGCAGACACAACTTATTGGTTGTAAAAAACTTTACTCACGCCGCTTGCAATCACGACGCAGGTGGTCTGGTCGTCGGAACAACCACACGAGTTGTTCCAGCTGGCGGGGCCCAAGCCAGTTAATCCGTCCGCAATTCGAAGCCGGCGGGGAAAGGGGTACGTCGGGGTTGCGCTCGGTGACGGGAAGAAAGATCGATAGGTGATCAGTCTATCGATCGGCAGCCGCAAGTCAGATAACTTCAGAGGCACTCTGCAGCGTGCTCAAAGCTCTCTGACTTGGGCGGAAGTCGCGCGGAATTTTAAACGGCCAGCGAGCCAATTACTAGCCTGCACGTGTGAATAATTTAACACTAGCCAATTACGGGGAACGAATTTGCATACCAGTGGCAGGAACTCTTTTGCACCATAGTGCCGAGGCACAAAAAAAATCACTGGGTCGTGACATGCCCCCTTGCCGACGGCACAACTGGAATTTCAGACACATGAACACATCTTAAGGCTTTCTTGCTTCGGGATGTACTGACCTGGCAAAGCTTTAACAACCATTATATATATA